CCCAAGACCTCCAAGATCACCTACAGTACTTGAACCATTAGGCCAGATCAAGCGCAGTATCAGATCCAAGCACACAGTACTGCACAATATCCCTTCGAATTATGCAAAACGGAAGCATCACTTTAAAGAGTGAAAATGTAGAGGAATCCCTCAGTCCGATATCAAAAGCAACATGACCACACCCATTTACGTTGTTCGACCTACCAATAATGGTGAATATTTTTAGAAATAGAATAACAGTGAAGAACGGATGAAATACCTTGAAGGCACAACTCATGATAAAAATGGTTTCTGAGACTTCTCTTTAAGATTAACTTGGGACTACAAGGATAGCCTAAGGGACGCTGTAAGGTCGAAAACCGACTAATAGGGCGTAGAATGGGCCCTGGAACCGGCTTAGCCGACGTACACACCTGAAGCGGACGAGTTCCTAGGCGTTGTATAAGCTGTAGAGGTTGCACCATTCGTACCGGGACCCACACTTTGCACGCTGGCAGCTTACTGCAGCCAGTTTTATGCAATGAGAAGCCCGACACCTTCCAGACATGATATACGACTGGACTGATTTGAGAATGTCAGTAATAGTAATAAAATAATTTCTATTCATGTCCTCTGTCCTAGACATACTTCAGCAATTGAGCACAAAAATTCTCACTTCTCACAAAAAAAAGACTAGTGCGCCAGACATTACTGATATCCTCAGCTCTCTTATAATATGAGCACTCTTACAACAAAAAAAAAACAAACTAGTAACAGAGCAATTGTCCACGTGTAAAATGAGTACTGTAAATGATTACAGTAACAGTTAGACAGAAGCGCAACGAGCGAATGAGTCTTTGGATTTCCAGAATGAACAACGGGCTTTATATACCCAGCAAAGGCTGGATCCAGTAGCTCTCAGGACCCAACAAGTTCGAACAAGATCACTAATCAGTAGCGGGTTAATCAATAACGACGGTCAAAGATTGATCCACCTCGTCGTGACATAATCTAATCAATTGTGAAACGAGAGAGCAGGTAGTAGGATCGGTATTGCATAATCGATTCGCCGCGCGCGACAGTCGTGGACCATTATAGAGCTCAATCGATATGCGATTACTATTTTTGGAATGATTCTGATGTTAGTTCTTTTGTCCCTGTATTTCTTACATGCTGTTGCATTCTGCTACATTCCTTCACGCACGGCGTCTCGCCGCGAAGCAAAAATTTCGATTCTACTGCACTACGCCCGTAAATCGATGTGACCCAAATGGAGTCGGAAATGGCGTGCTGCAAGCTCTAAAAAGTAATAAAAACGTTCACAGAAAACAAGGATAGGCAAGGAACCGTTCCTAACTAGAATTGCATAAAATTGCAAGAAAAAAAAATTAAGGAAAGAGTGAAAGTGAAAAAGTGGAAAAAAAACGAAAATCGGTCGAATGCTAACAGCGAGTAAGGCTAATACCAGGTAGTCACGAGCCATTCGTGATCAATAACTCCCTCCCCCTTTGAAAAAATGAAAGCGGCTTAGCACCAGCTGGTCACAGGCCGATAGTAAACGTCAACCTCTTCCCTATAGAAAGAAAGGAAACAAAAGACACAGTTGTCTGACGACAGCGACGCCGTTCATGACTTGACAGCCGGAAAGGCCCAGTTAACTCGAAAGTCGTCGTAGGGCATAAGAAATCGGACTAAACTCGGTTTTACCAGAGGATCAAAGTTGAAGCATTGAATGCTCAGTGGAGATCCTGTCGCGATGAGCGCCTGGCAAGTGGTCCTTATGGGAATGGGATCATCACTGACAGTGTGCTACAATGGAAAGCAACCGTGGCAGTATGAACTCAAGGAGCAGTGGCAGCTGACTGTTGGTCTTTACGAATCTCTTCAAAAAATTCCTTACTCCTAACTTGGCCAACATAACAGGAGCAGACTTTATTCTCCTATGACCAAGGGACTATCTCAGTACACTAAGACTAAATTGTATGCTATCACTAGGTTGATCTACAGGAAAACACTTAAAAGAATAGAAACGATGAATACCTAGCAATATCCAACGAACTCGCTCATTCCTTAACCAGTATTGCCTTCACTTGCCACTGGCTTCGGGTAGAGGGTCAGGTCATACGGACCCCATCCACTGAGAAAGGTTTAAACGGACTCTTTGGAGGGTAATTTACAAGCCTTCTTTTATAGATTTTAGATGGGTTACCTGCTGTAATTTACAAGACAGTTTTAGATACCTATAGACTTTGTCCTCGATGAGCTATGATCTGATTGTCGCTTGATAAGGATGACCCCCAAATATTTTTTGTCTTCCAGCTGCGACGAAGGCGACAAGGCCGTCAGCCAAATAAGAACCTGTAAAATCTCGGCCGAAGCTCCACAAGAACACCTAATACATCGATATGTAATGCCAGATCACCAAGAGTCGTACATGGTCTTTTCCATAAAAAGAACCTTTGCAAGACCAAAGGAGGGCAGGGTATGGTAGAAGTGCTGGGCGAATTGTTAACTGAAGTGGTCAATTTCTACAATTCCGATCCACCAATTACTCGACATCTATATTGCTGACTGTTGTAAAACTATAACCGTACAATCTCCAGAGGCAACCGTACTGAGCTTGTCCGAGCTAGTTGACTGGAGCCAAGGAGGTCTAACAGGGTCTGTTTTGACTGGCAACCAATGGACTGTACTGCACATGTGCAACACTTTATAACGGCGTGTAGAGTAACCGACATAATTATATCAATTTGCAAGTTTATATACACATGAATGTGGGCGGTGTTCAGATACTGTAACGTTAATGCACTGAATGAGAACAATTAAGCAACGGGGTAAAAGAGCGCACCGCGCCATCAGCAATGCTTCGGTTACCTACTTGATTGCAAACTTAAGTTACCGATAGGTTATGCCTCGGTATCGTCTCAAGAGGTACCTATCAAAAGTATTGCCTAGGGTAATAAGCTAGACTACAGTGCGCGTCAATTGCATATGCCATCCCCTATTTTTTCTTTTATCTGAGTTGTTAGGCAACATTGCGAGCTGAAATGTTGACCAACACTTACTGAGTGAACAAGAGTCTCAACAAAGCCTAAACATATTTGAACGCTGCGGTAGCGCCCTTTTTTTGGCGATAAAGTGAAAATTAGCCGCGTCAATTGCTTATGCCATGTCGTCATTGCTACGAAATATCTCAAGTCCGCGCAGCCCTATAGCCTTCTGTCCAAAACTGTTCTGTCCGCAATCCAAAGCAGTCCACCATGCCTGAGGGTCGTCGTCTATCTTCAACAGAACAAAGCCAAATTATATCGCTTCGTCAAGCAGGCCGTAGCAACAAGGCCATCGCAGTACAACTCGGCCGATCCAGACGCTGCATCGACGGTTTCGCGAA